GCTCCAGTGGTAGAGCGCTAGCCTTGAGCTGAAGACCTGAGGGACAGCGCCCAGACCCAGAGTTCAGGCCCCATGACTGGCAAAAAAAAAAAAAAAGGAAATGTACTCGTTACCTTGCTCATGTAACTGTAACTCCTCTGTACACTATCTTTACAATAAAAAATGTACCAAAAAGAAAAAAAAGAAAAGCCAACCCAGGCAGGAAAGTCCCTGAGACTCTTACCTCCTGTTAACCACCAGAAAATTGGAAGTGGCGCTGTGGCTCAAAGTGGTATAGTGTTAGCCCTGAGTAAAAGCGCTCAGGGACAGCACTCTGGCCCTGAGTTCAAGCCCCATGATCGTCCAAAAACAAAACAACCAAAACAAAAGCAACTCATTATTGTAGGAGTAACTTCTTACAATTGCATCTAGAGTTTTTAGCTGTGGTTGAAGAAAGACGAGCCATGTGGTTTATTCTGTCTTGCTAGTACCAGATACAAGCAATTCAGTTTTGTCCTCCATTTAAGATGGAAGTTCTCTCCCAGATAATCAGCTCTTCCTCTGTTATTTAACCTAGCTTTGGGCCATTGGTCTGTTTCCTCTGTATTTGTTGGTTACATTTCACTAGATGATGCACAATAAATGTTTAATCAGAAATGTTATACAATGTTCTAGGTGTTTTTTAGCTAACAAGAAGGTAGAGGGATCCAAATATATGTGTTCTGGAAAAATCCTTATATTATTCACTAATTAATTAATTTTGTGGTACTAGGGATTAAAGCTTTCTGCCATATAAACCGCGCTCCTTCTATTCAATGAATAAGACTGCTTTTTCATGCCGTGTTATTTCAGGACCCTCTATTGACCTCATATAGATTTTTAGGGTTCTTTGCAAACTTTTCAGAACAAACTTTCCTATCAAGGAATCTTCCAACAGTCACATTAAAATCTTATTTCACTTTCCTTGGTTTAAGCTTCTTGCTGACTTTGCTGTCATTCCCTGAGAATCATTCCTGGCTGGATTTGGGAGATTTGGCATTCATCTCTAAATTCTAGTCCTGAAGATAAAAGTGGCTTCTTTTCTACTCTGGCTACTTGGAAAGAATCTAGCTACTAAAAATGCTATTAATATAGCTGAGCCACCATCACAATGCATAGTCCATTGTCATTCACAAAGATTGGGGCCATTTCCTTTAGGAAACATCTTCTGAGGCTCTTAACTTGATTCCTTTTCCTTTCCTTTCCTTTCCTTTCCTTTCCTTTCCTTTCCTTTCCTTTCCTTTCCTTTCCTTTCCTTTCCTTTCCTTTCCTTTCCTTTCCTTTCCTTTCC